TAAAGTCCTTTAACCAATAATCATAACACAGATGCTCTAATGCTCATCTCCAGCTAAAGTATGTGAGTGTGTTAATCCACCCCTCAAACTGACGGATCAATTACATCATTACAAAAGTGCAATGAACAAAACATTCAATGCATGGACACTAATTTTACACACTCTAAGACACATTACAATCAACAATTGTTATTCAACATCCAGTGAAAACAAGTATTGCTTATCACACAAGTTATTGACTAGTTTTAATCTTCATTTAAACAATCCCTATATCCTTATAGTCATCATTCATCTTTATTTCCTGATCTATCTAGGGGTCATTTTACCTAAAGAGCCGGGCAGACTTACCTTAAGCAGACAGGATGAGAGGAGTACACAGAGTGGCAGAGGAGACAACCGGAGGAGAGAGGACCAGGAGGGGAGGAGTTACTGAAAACGTCACTTGAAGTAGGATTAAAATGACACAGAGGATTACAATGAGTGGCTAATCTACATAGTGCAAACTGCAAAGTGAAGGGAGAGCTGAAAGGTGTCCTGGTCTGGACTGTCACTCTGGTGGTCCTGAGGGGAAAAACACCGGATGAAACACATTTAGAACACATTAACAACACTGCCTGGGAGGCTGTAGTACTGCTACTGCCCTAGGCGTGAGGAAAACTGAGGGGTAATTTGGTAAATTCAACAGGTTTTTAGAGGGCATTTCCCCCTGTTTTTGCTTCTCCGTGAAAAGTTCAAATTTGGCTTACCAAAATCCCAGGCCACACCAATTCCCGAACCTCCCCACATTACCACAGCCTCTATTCAGTCAGGTTGTGAAGAACATGATGGCCCGGCTGTAAGACATGACCAAGGGCCTCCAGACCCTCTGCAAGGACGGAGGAAAACTGAGAGGAAATGGTAAGTTCAACAGGTTTTGTGGAAAATGCAATGACATTTATGAAAACACAACAGAATTAGAAATATTTTTTGTGTTTTACATCTCTGGGCCACCATACTCTGGACTGGTCATTTTCACAACACAAGATTTTACTTTGAAAATAAGCAAATATAACTGCATCTCAAAGAGAAAGTAAAGAATGAGATGATAGTAATTGCGGTTTTTATATGACTTTTATGTTTTTTATTCATGCACAAATTGAAGCTCCACACACAGTATGTTACGTATTTACCTATTAAACATCATATTTAATGACACTGGAAAATTTGTAGGTTTTTTCTCACCGCTGTCTCGCACATCCCTGTTTCCTCTGTGACACCATCAAGATTAGCACGTTAGCCCAACACATGTGACATGAAAGGTGGGATTTGTGTTTGATACTCCTGTGTGCCTGTGGAAATGTCATATGAGAGAGACGACCACCTGTGAAGGACTCACACTTTCAGCTTCACATTACACATTCTTTGAAATCCTCAGCAGAGGGAACCACTTGTTTTGGCGCCCAGATTATGGATTACTTATCCATGATTGCACAACATCAGAAAACTCACCTCTCCTCTGTCATTAATTACAGTAATTGAAAATCAAATTAGGTTTGCTTTTATATTTTGGAGGTTGGTGTTAGTTTGTTATGTATCTATGTCCACCTTTATTGCCTCCACCTTTGTTCCTTACAGCAATACATTTATAAATACATTTATAGTCATGCTAATGCCGTTAGCACTGAAACATTGAAAGCTTTCATTAACTCCTGGATAGATGGCCATTTTGTACAGACTTTGCCTCACCAGTTGGTTGGCATTTGTACGTTTGAGTGTCTTAAAAACTATTGGACACTACACACATTCATGTCCCCTCTGAATGAATTGTTACAACTTCAATGATATCCTGATGATTCATCTAGTGTAGGTCATCAGGTCAAAACTTAAATGTGTCTTATACTTTGGTTTATGACCAAATACTTACACATTCACATGACAATCAGTTATACTTATACTTTGTATTTAGTGCTAACTAGCTAGCTTTAACATGCTAACACACTAAACTAAGAAGGTGAACATAAACTATACCTGCTAAAGATCCACAAGAAAATATTGATTGTCATTGTGAGTGTGTTCACATGGTGACATGGTTTTCCATTCAGACATTTTATTTNNGTCATTGTGAGTGTGTTCACATGCCAACATCAGCGTTTAGATGAAATAACCATTAAACCTCTATATAACCTCCTGGAGCCGCTAGCATGGTTGTAGCTGTTTCTGTAATAATCCACTAGGATCTGCACATTTGATCAGTTTAGATTTGGACAGTTTTCCATTCAGACATTTTATTTTTGCACATTTTACAGTCTTCTCTATATTGACAATTCTTGTTTATCATTACATCTTCCTTACATTAGTGATCTTGTATTTAAAAATGTATTTGTTTTTGTGCATAGGCTACTCTGTTTTCCATTTTGCGTATCAAGCTGCCTGAAGACTCTCAGTCATCAAGGTTTATCTAGAAATACTGAGTGAACTGGACACTGTTTTATTCTTGAAGATGTTGCCACTCATCCAAAATGTGTCATTCCCATCTGGTCTGACATTTTTTATTTCAGAAATACATTCGCTCTCTTGACACTCTCATAGGTTGACTAAATGTGAAGCTACAGCCAGCAACTGGTTAGACTAGCTTAGCATAAACACTGCACACATGGGAAACAGCTGGCCCGACTGATTCACCTATCAGCACCTCTAAAGCTCACTAATTAACAAATTGTATCTAATTTGTTTAATGCATACACAAAAACAACGTATAAGTCATTTTGTAGCAGTGAGCAGGCAGATTTTGGTCCCATTCTTAATGCTAAGCCAAGCTAAGTCAAAGTGTTGCAATCTCCTACGTCTAGTATTGATCTTCTCATCTAACTCTCGTCATGAACGTGAATAAGCAGATATCACAAAATAGCAAAACAATTCCTTTGACCTCTTTCAGGCCTTTTTTAAGGGATTTTTTGTGTTAGAAGCAGTCAGTAAATCAATAGTCATTCACATTTTCACTGTAATAATTCAGTCTTTTATTGAATGATCAGTACATAATAGATTAAAAAAAGACTTCATACTCTGTAATCTGTCAGTCGTATTAGTGAGGTTGACTACTTCCACACCACGCCTCCCAGTCACCTCACACTATCACACAGATCATCATAATTATCATAACAACAATAAACAAAATAACACACAGGACATTTCAACATATGATCAGTGTAATTCCTAACCAGGGTTTGAGTTATGAGCTGTTAGCTTTGTGGGGGTCTCTAGAATAACTAAAGTTAGGGTTGGAGACAAATCAATAACTGCAAGTTTCAATAGTCTGAAATTCTGCCCTTTTTGGTATCATATGAGTTGGTTCCCACGTAACTTGAACCCTTTTCCTGACAGAAAATGCATGATATTTTAACATAATCATGAATAAATAAGGCAAATCTGAAAAAGGGCTAATTAACTAAAATAACTAAAGCTAACTAAGGCAAAGAAATACTGAATTGTGCATTAATCAAATAACTGTTTATTGAACTGAAAACTTTCAACGATGGCTTGCATATTTTTCTCTTCCCTCTTGATATTGTGCACCCCAATAATAAAGCATGCCATTGGCTCATGAAAAAGCAGACCTTGTGTAGGCATAGGACATGATCTGCGTCTTGTCTGAGAGAGGAGAATACAGTTGAGTGCCATCATTGAGCGGATAGAAGAGGTTAATGAGCTGTGGGTGAACAGAGGAAGCGTCCATTCCACATTAAAGCTCGATGCTCTGCTGGGTCTCCATCCTCCACACACTGAGGCCTCTGTCATCCAGAACTGGCAGACTTACTGTACTCCATTATTGTTCCTCTATCAGCACCTCTCATTAGTGGATGCTCATGAATAACCTCCAATTCCCTCGCAGAGATAAACAGGGGTTAACAATGTCTCCATGTATTATGTCAGACGTGGCTAAGTGTTTTTGTCTCTGGTATACGGTTAAGTTCTTTGATGTAAATTAATTCCTGCAGCTATGTCACTCTGCAAACCAACATATAGGTTATAGGTTTATATACTGTTGGTAGTCAATCTACAGCAATGCATAGTATTCTATAAGATCTTCATATGTTTGTTTGTCGCTGTCCTGTGAGAACCATTCTAGAAGGTCAACTTTTCATGAGCTCAGTCCTGTTTTCAGCTTTGTGACATTGCATTGTCCAGCAAATCCAAGAGGGTTTTAAATACTTTATTTAATTCAAGAAGCAGAATATTCTCAACCCATAAAGGAACACTTCATCAAGTAGAGTATAAGAGTAAAAGTAAGTACAACTACCTTGAGAAAATGCATAGAATTTTCTTCCACATGAATCAGACTCTTCTGGTGTTTGGATGTATAAAATATTCAGAGGGGGAAAGACCTTTTTATTAGTGCAGTGGTGTATCCATCAGATGACGGAGAGCACATAGAAACAGGAAGGCAAATCTAAACCACTTTCTAAGTAAAATAAAATTACTTGATTATGAGTTTTTCCACTAGTGTCAGATTATTTCAAGTCTGAAGACAACAAGGACTGATAAAGACTTAAAATCAGATGTTTTTCACAGCAGACTCATTTGGGGTGGGATCACAGGTATTACTAATAACATTAACAAAGCTCTGTTCCCTTTGGTGATCATCATTTTCTTTAATTACACCTGTGCTTTATCTACTGTCACATGTCAAAATGTTCTGTGTCAAAAAGGCAAATTAAGCGAGGCGGCCAGAGGGCTTTTACAATGTAAAATACTCTCAGAAATAGTTTTATTAATAATCCTAAATCACTGAAGTACATTCCTAGAACTAATATTCCAGTCCTTTAATCCTGCCTCTGTGAAAAACGGCCCTCACTGGGATCAATCAGAGGGTCAACACCCCCACCTGGTGGCACCTGCAATCTGCTTCCTCATTACCTAAAGGGCATTAAATCTCCCACATCAGAGCAGAAACCCGGCAAATAAGGAAAACATTCAGCATCAGTTATTGTAACTTAATTCAAGATTTCCTTGGATTAGGATTAGAGGAAGAGGAAATAAAAAATGGTGGCTCTTCTCTCTAAAAAGGTGCTCTATACTCAGAATAGGCTCACTGCACCAACAAAAAAAAACATTAATATGTTTTAATAAAGGAGGATCTGCCCACATTTTATCTCCTATGATTGTCTAAGGTGTACTTTTTCTGAAAGAGTAATTTGACTGCACTGAAGTTAAATTACAAGAATGTCTACATTAAGTATTCAAATATGTATTTTATCTATCATTATTATTCTATTAACACACCTAACATTACTTACAGACACTTCTGCGAACAACAAACACATAGGCCGAAAATTTTTTAATCTTTACTCTGATGGAGTTTACACAACAGACAACAAAGTCACCTCTCTGATGAGATGAATAATCATAAGGCACAAAATAATGCATCCAAGTATACTTGCACAAAAGTCAGTTGATGTTTTTGTATCTTACAAATACAAATAACGTTTTGTATGTTACAATGCACCGGTGGGACAAAAACCACATGACAACACTGAAGTGAAAGCAGTAGCATTCCTTTTGGGGAACAGTTTCATCATACTACTTTCAGTATTCTTCATCAGATGACCTTTAAAGGAAAAAATTATAATAATCTGCACAAAACATGAGAAATGCCCCATTTGAATTTGCATTGATTTTTGTTGACATTTGTTCCAGTTTTTCATGACAACCAACCCAAACTTTCCAGCTTCCTGCTATTTGTCTGATGAGGAAACAATGTGACAATCACATGACGGACTAAAACAGGAATTGTGACTAAACAGAGAGCTTATAACTACGTATAATTGGATACGCTGACTTTAGGTGTAGGCAGGCTGAAAGCACAGTTGGACTGGGTGTTCTACTTGGTTTAATTTCTTAATGCAGAAACAAGTATGTGTGGTTGTAAAATGCTAACCGGGATCAGTTTGTAGAATTGAACCTGTTATCTTGTACTTCTCTCTGTGCTGATATTTAAAGTGTCTGTATTTGTTAACAATAGAAATAGAGAACTAAAAGCACTCTACATAGAGATGTTTTTTTAATAAAGTAAATATACAGTAACAGTCTGGTCTAGTAAGAGTGGACAGAAAGGACTAAACCAGGACAAAGGTCAACATAATGTAAATAATAATGTTCAGGTTGTTTAAATTTGTGGAAATAATCACTGATTCTTTATTAGAAAAGTGCAAACAGAATAAAAACATATCCCACATATTTTCTCATCATTGTCTTTTTTTTGCATACAACTTCTTAAGGCATCAGGGAGTCAGTTTACATTTACACTGGACAAATGACATGTTGACCAATGATCTGCGATGAGACGTTAATAGCAGCTTAATGCTGGAATTGCACTAAAACGCCAGTATTTATCAAATAAACTCGGGTCAGTGGAAACACCATTACTAACACAGCCAACCTTCCAGCTGAGCCTGTAGTAAAGAATATACCATATGAAATACTTCAACCAAAGTGAAGGCACAAACAATGCTTTTTGGAAAGAAGAAGCTTCCGATTTGAATAAGGTTAGAATAAAATGTAAACATTAAAGTTCTGGAGGTAATGATATACGGACATGATTGAATTAATTACATGGTACCATACATTTAAGGCAACCCTTTGTTTCCAGTGGTTTCCTTAATAGTGTCAAAGGTCAGAAACGGTGGTTGTTTGCAGGTCCAGAGCATGTTTGAAAACAAGACCAGTGATAAATGAGGGGACTCATGTGATATTCTTTCCCCTGTGCTTCTCTCAGTCGTTCAACAAACTTATCGTCGTGTTTCCTCTTTACATAAAATCCTCTTTAAAAGAACTTATATATACACTTATTGTCCGGACTGCTCCTTCATGAAATGTTTTAAAAGTATACTTAAGGAATAAAACACGAATTTTCATGCTCCCTTTGACATTAAAAACTCCAGAGTTGGGTGTACCAGGATGCAGCAGTAAACCCACTTCTTCTTTTTAAATGAAGACAGTTTGTCTTTCTGTACAAAAAGTCAACCACAAACTCGTGGGAGCTGCAGTAGTTGGCACAAAGCATCCCGGTCACGTTCATGACAGATATGCCAACTGAAATTACGACTTCTCTCAGTCTCAGCCCAAAAACGTCAGAGCTGCCATGATGCTGAAGCCTAGCAGGATGAAGAGCACCTTCAGAAGCTGCTTCCCGGGCGAGTTGAGCTCATGCGGAAGTATCTCGAGAAAGGTGATGTAAACAAACGTCCCTGCAGCGAGCCCCTCCAGGATGGCCTGGATCAGTGCTCCAGCTGCAAGCTGAGCCTCCATCACGCTGATGCCGATGGCGATGCCAATAGGTGACATCAAGGCGAAAACTCCGATGTAAGCGGCCACCCACAATGGACGAACTGCGCTCTGGACCAGCTTCACAGACAGGCTGAACACTATGATGCTCTTGTGGACAAGTATAGCTATGCAGATCTCTAATACCTGGAGAAAACAAAGAGGTTTTATGGTCATTTCCTCTGTTAATAGCTTTCATATAATGGCTGAGAAACATCCAAACAATAGTAAATGTTGATGACTCTGTATGTAAAGGTTGGGTTTCATTTTAGTTGGTAAACGGGATTGGGCAATAAGACAATAACGACAACTGCCATGACAGCTATGTGATCTCTGGAAATATTGGATCATTGTGGACAATGTTGTAGAACATAGAGCTGTTCTGCTTTGTGGCTAAATCAGATTTTCCTTTTAGTTTTTATCAATAAAGTACCCGAATATTTCAGGTGTTCAATTTGCTCAGTCAATTTAATATGTGATTACTTTATGCATTAACTGTTTGTACCTGCTCTCATTTAATTTCCCAGAAAATACACAATATTATAACAAATCAATATAAAAATATAAAATAACATCTTAAATATAAGAATATCTGCAATATAAGATTTATCCATATCTGAACTGATCTGTAACTGATTAACAACTGGCTTCAGAATAAATCATTACACTAAAAAAGGAGCACTGAACGGGTAACTTCATCAGTTTGTTAGACGTCTGTCCGCAGGGCACTCTGTTGCACCTGTAACCACATCCTCCATTCCCAGGACACTTCTGCATCACTGTGGCAAGGTGAGAACCTCAGCTCCCCTTTCATTCAGTAGACTCAGGTCAACTAAAGGGACATTCTGATCTATAGCATGATATATATACGCAGAATATGAACGAATATGTTTTTAAATCCTAGTGTTGTTTTCCTTGAGTGATGTGATGTTTAATTATTCTATTTATAATAAATCTTTCTTTTGTTCTTTTTGGCATCTTCTTGTATTGTAATTCAAAAATGTAGTTACAAATATTTTTATGTTCTTGAACATGCCATCTCATTGCAAATTGATTTATCTAGTTAAATAAGGTTTGTATATATATATATCTTATATTTTAAACTATTAATTAACTGTTCAATGTCTATTTTTATAAATAGTAAAGTCAATTTCCTACACAAACAACACACAGTTACATGTAGATGAAAGGTCCTGAGTTAATACTCATACTATGCCGTCTTGTGACCAGAAGATCCAGATCACTCTCATGACAACGAGATTCCTTTCCTGTCAAAGCGTCCTGAAGCTATAAACTGAAACCCGGCATTCTTCTTGCTATATGAGCGTGCTGTGAATGTGATACCGACTTTATTTCCGCAAGACACTCCTAAGACCAATGATTACAAAGGGCGTGACATGTAGAAAGTGAGAAGAACCAGATAGGTAAGTTTTAATAAGAATATGATTCATTAAAAGTGTGGGGGGAAAAAGAAAGCAGAGAAAACAAGAAATGTTTTATATTCTGTGGAACTTTGAGTGGATTTAAAGGTCCCATGTGGAGTTTTAGATCTCTAAAAGCACTATGGTTGATGCAGGTCCCTTGTTTCATATACAAGGAAACTCCACAGGACCCTTTTAACACCTTCTTACCTTTGAGTCAGTGCTCTGCAGGCCGATAGCGAGACCCTCAAAAACCGAGTGGAGCGAGAGCGAGAGGAAGAGCATGAAGGAACGAAAGGGGGAGTGAGCCTGAAAGTCAACGTGGATGTGGTGGCCGCTGTTCTCCAGATCAGGGGTCGTTCCATGGCCGTGCCCGTGCCCATTCCTGTTGCCCGGTATAAGGGGTGCCCTCTCCTCCTGAGCCCCTCCCATCTCCCGACAGTTCAGAACGATCCTCTCCAGTATGAGGACGGTGAAGAAGCCGACAGCCATGATGAACTCTGGAAGAGGGAAAGTGGTCTGTTTGAGACCAATGCAGAGAGATGAATCAGTTTGTAGGCTCGGGCTGAAAAGGTCAAAACTTGGGAACAGAGACTGTAAACAGACTACAGCACCGCGTGTCTATAAAGACCCTCAGTCAACAAGAACAGGATAGAGGTCTATTCATTGATACATTATTTTATTTTAGTTCTGGTCCAGTTCCTGTTTACACTGAGGTTTTACAAACAAACCAAGAGAAGTAAACATGATGTTATACAGACAGGAAACTCATTAACTGGAAAGTTTTGGCGATTGACCCACATCTTTAATGCCTCTGATGTTTATACTTATGCTCTTTATGAAGAAATAACTGATTATAAGCCTTAGAGGATTGCAAATTGACTGCATGGCCCCGGGTCTGTCCAAATCAGCCCATACTTGGACGTACCTCCACCTTCCGAGCTTCCAGCTCGGCTTTGATGTCCGACAGGTAATCTGGAATGATGTCGAGCAAACATGCTGCCAGGAAAACCCCACCGGCAAAACAGCTGATCAGACTCAACACTGTGCGGTGGATTTCTGCAAATGAAAAAAGATAAAACATCTCCAGTGTTTCAAAATGAACTTACACACAACGGTAAGATTGATCCAGACAAAAGGCCATAAACTGCAGAGTAAAGAAAGCTTATTTTCCTTTTTTAATGACTGTGATTTTGTAGATTTCTCTGCAAAAAAAGTGAATAAATGAGGCATTTTACACTTTCAATTTTGTTTTTATCACTTTGTTGAATAAAAATGTCTATAACTGAAGGATTGATGGTACATCTCAGACATGACATCCCAAATTAAATCACTGCCACTCCTTCCAAAGTTAGTATAATCATCATGTGACACATCATGAGTATGAAAGTACAGAAGTTAAAATAACTCACATTACGACACACAAGGATGTAATGTAGAGAAATTATACTTTCACTTCCATATAAGAAAGCCAAAGTCCACCAGCCTCGTTTTGCAAATTCATACATAAAATCCGATGTGACCATTGGCTCAGAAAGTTTAGGCTTCATCCCTGTCAGGTGACTCCAGCCCAGGGGGGGTTTATTATTGGTAGTAAGGACATTACAGATTAAAGCTGAGTTAAAAGATTAATGTAAGTATTAATGTAATGTAAACAGTTTCAAATCACCACAAAGCCATATGTACATAATGCTAATAAAATACAACATTAAAACATTTGCAGGAAGCATTATTAGTTCTCGCTCGTGATGGTGGTTGTGTGATTTATGTCCAAAGGATTGAAAACCTTTTTACCACCACTCGGGTATCACTGGGTTAATGGTTTCTAGGTCACACTTGATACAATCAATAGGATTTAATTTCGTTTAAAACACTATCTACTGCAAAACATGTGATTCATGTTCAGACGGCTGGTGAACCCCACTATCTAAGACCCTGTGCCTTCCGCTAACCGTACACCAAACCTCGTTTAAGCTTCTGGCAATTTAAGAATGCCACCTTGATTTGCAAATCATAACACATCGTAGACTATAAACGAAAAGTGCACATGAATCAGCAAACTTCCTTTTTTAATTCGGCATCGGAACAATAAAGCAACAAATAACGTTGATTGCATAAAACAAGGTTTGCTGATTTAGCTGAGATTGATGTAGGCTATCTTAATGACTATCAACGCAAACGTTAACATTTTGCCAATATATATATATATATATATATATATATATATAAACGTGTACCAACCTGTCCCGTTGGTGTCTCTGAACCATTTGATTCGAGCAGGGATGAATCCAAAAAACAGAGTTAAGAGCAACAAACCGACCAGAGCGCCTATTTTAACCTGGAGCAGATAATCCATCCTGGGGCACAAAGAGAGAGAGAGAGAGAGAGAGCTTCACTGCCCTATCATTTATTATTTCAGCTATGAAGCGAGCCGAAGCTTCACCAACACGAAGTCAGGAGTTTCTCTGACAGACATCAGCCAACCTAATGTTGTTATCTAGAAAGTGGCAGCGCTGTTCAGACACTACGGTGGCCGAGAGGGGTCGAAGATAATGTTTCGAAAGAGCTGAATAGGGCGCCCCCATCTCTTTACCAGCTTATTTATAATAACAAAACATAGTCTGTGTTGGAGAAAGTGTAATTAGTTGTTAATACAGAATGTTTATAATAACCTAATATTGATCTTTTATCAGAAATGTAATTAAAATGGGTTATAAAAGAAGTTAAAGTACCAATACAACAATGTAAAACTACTCTTTTATAAGAGTAGCCAGGTTTGGAAGGGTTACTTTAAAAATGTAATGATATAATTACAGTGTCACAATATTAAGTGAACTTAATAAAAGCCTTTCTCATTCTAGCACACTGTTTAAATGTCTTATATTTCATTTGTATTTATTGTTCTTATCATATTCTAGCTATGGGTGTTTTATTCCTTAATTTGTACGTTTTAATTGTTTGATTTTGTGCCTCATTGTGATCAATTTTGCAATATGTTTTATTATTAGTTTTATTATTTTATATTTTATTATTTCTTTTTTATTATGTATTATTATTCTTTACCGATGGGGGTCTTTTATCCTGCCTTAATAATGCCTTTTAATTGTATTTTTTGCCTAGTATCTCCTGAAATGTTTTTAATCCTGGTTACTTTCAGTTACTTTTGGATTACCTCAACACCAAATATGTAAATAAAAATAAGAGAAAATAAATGTCAACGTAAAGTATTGATGTGATAAATATATATTCTATAAGAAAACAGAACAATGTGACATTTAAAAAGAAAAGGGACAGAAAACAGAAAACATTTTTTTAAAAGATGTTTAGCCTTGAAAAAAGTCTGCCTGCTTGTGTAGTTTTAAAGAAAAACTGATGTATTTTATAATTGTAAACCTGCTAAATAAGCCGCACTTTTACCCATTTTAATTCATTACAGTTACCTCTTTTTGTATCCTGATTACATAGCTCAGTTACATGTAATCCATTACTCCCTGAGTCTCCATGTAGACTTACTTAAAGTATGAAAAGTAAAAGTCCTCCTGCACTGTGATTGTTTACTGTGTGACATTATTAAAGATTCTGCAACAATATGTGAGCAACATTTTATTGCTGTGGCTAACTTTGACTGTTTTACATGCAGTTGTTTAGTCCATTATTTGACAGTCAGTCCAGGCTTTTCTTGTTATGCTATGTTCGGTGTAACTCTTTTTTTTTACGGTAAAATATCTTTTTCTGTGCTTTGTAATCTCTTTGTTGTCTGATACATGTTTCCAGTGGTTCAATAAAAATGTCAAGGCCAACTGCTCTGGTGTTTATCTTACTGCTGTGTCCCTGCACAAACAGTAGGTCAGGCAGAACACAATCAGTTATTTGGTAATCCATTAATAAATACTCATAGGTTTCAAACTTCTCAATAACCCAGTTATAAATGCTGATTAGGACATTTCTAGGAGGTAAGTAGTCAAAAGGTCCATTTGAGAGGACTTTCTGATGAACTAAAAACCTAAAAAGACAAACCAAGTACTGAAGGACAGTGTAAAAAAAAGGGCACCATCAAGCAGACAATTATGATGCATTTATGGTGAAACATCCTAGTCAAGGTTAAGATTAGCACCCTAGAGGGCACGTCATCAAACTGGTACCTATAGTTTATCACCCAACTGTGAGCACCATTAAACAAAACTTCATTCATCCCATATATTTGGATGTCAGCAGAAAGGTCAAAACCTACACAAATAAGCAGGGGCGGTTCTAGAGAAATATTTATGGGGTGGCCAGTGGGTGGCATGGAGGGTTGAGAGAAATATATTTAATCATGTATATCAATGTTTGATATCTCAATAAATAGTTTCAATTCCCAAATAAATGTATGTTTTTCATAAACGTAAGCCTATCACAGTCTAAAATGTGTTCATTTCCGTTTTTTAACAAGTAATTTTAAAAAAATTAAATAAAATAATGTGTTAAATTTGACAGTATTTCAATCATCAATAATCAATAAGATCAATAAGATCCAAACTACCTGCTTGGCTACCTACTACTAGATGTAAGTAAGAATTTGTTGTGTTCATGCATAATAATAATAACAATAATAATAATAATAATAATAATGATAATGATACTAATAAAAGTATTAGTAGTAATATTAATATTAACATTAATATTAATATTATTGTTATTAATAATAATAATAATATTAATATTAATAATATTA